GCAAGAATGTTGCGAGATTTTTTGACAATGGCGATTTTTGCGGGTTCCCCCCCCCCCCCCCCCCCCCCCCCCCCCCCCCCCCCCCCCCCCCCCCCCCCCCCCCCCCCCCCCCCCCCCCCCCCCCCCCCCCCCCCCCCCCCACCTAACAACTTGTTAAAGTGCCATCAAACCATTTCTAATAATCGCGTTAACCGTTATGCCAGCTCTCAGTACATCCATAAACGGGAAAAAACCCGCAGAATTTTGTTCCCTTGGAAATTTGATGATTTGAGGCTGCATCAGTGCTTTGGGCAAGCCTTCACAGGTTTTTTCATCGCTAAAAGAATAAAAACAATGGGAATTCTATCAAGAAGAGATCCTCTAGAAAGCTGTGTTCTCCTGAAAGCAGAGTCATAACAATTCTATCATTCTAACAGGAATAGACTCGCCCATAGACCAATACAACGATCGAATTTTCTCGAGACCAATATCCGGCACGTTTTCCTGGCGATGGTTTCGCGGTCTGCTTGCGGTCCGATTATGGATCCATTAGGCTTCTCTGTTTGGGGTTTCATGAAGAGCTACAAAAGAATGGAAATGCAAAAATTTGGTGATTTTGAAAAGAAATGTCTGAAAATTTGGAATAAATTATGCGTTGAACACCTCCGCCGCACCATCGACTCGCTGAAGAAACAATTCAAGGCCTGTATCAAAACTGATGGCAACTGTTTCGAAACTTCTTTGCAATAATGTCATGATTTGAGGTTCTATAAATTTGATTACCTTCAAATTCCAGTTTACAAGAAATAAAATTTGGATGCGTTTCATGGCGCACGTAATATTTCGCCACCCTGTACTAAAGTAAATCGAAAGGCAGGCGTCCCCCCCCAATGTGCGGGACGACGTGCGTTCCGCAGCGAAAAGTACTCCCCAGAATCCGAGCAGTGCCATACCCGCGCCGCGGTACGCCAATCCTCTCTCCGTCTGGCACTGGCGGCTTTGCTAAGAGAGAGAGAGCGTTAGCGTTGAAGAGGGCAGCACCGATGAGAGTCGCATCAATGCGGAAATCAACGGGCAGGAAGGGGTCCCATTTCTCGGGTTCTAGGCTGTTTTTCTTAGTTTTTTCTTCATCCTTGCATCACTGACAACTTTTACCTTGATTTTTAAGGGCTTCCTTTCCATCGAAAATTAACCCTTATTTGAAGTCATGCTACTATCAGTCCCGCGGAATCGCTAATTCCATGATGAGAGCCGAGCGACCGAAAGGATACATATTTAGTCCTAATCGAGGATTCTGCGCATCCGTGGTGCCGCCAGCTATAATAGCTGCGAAAGCGAAAATCATCTTCAACATGTCCTTTTTCGAAAAGTGGGAGCTGTGCTGCAAAATTCATCCTCATATAGACGACTCGACACTTGCTTGAATGCTGTGTATGGTAGCACTTTTGAATAGCTACCGTAGGGTAAAATTTTCAAAGTTGGGATATACATATCGATGGTTTCCAATATTTCCCATAGGTGAACAGGGGCCACTTTTTATTTATTTTTCGTCCTGAATGTTGATTTCTTCTCCTCATTTTCAGAATACTCCCGCATGTGAGGATCGCAACAAAAGTGTTATGCACTATGAAGCGTAAGTGTTCCAAGTTTTGCTGAAGAAATTTGAATTTTTGCAAAGCAAAAATTAAATCGTTGTTTTTTTCTCCTTGACCTTATTTAAGCAGTTCTTCTCTGTGTTCAGTTCATCGACATCGCCGTTGTGCCTGCATCTCAGCATCTTTTCTGCATTTTTTCCATTTATCCCATAATTACGAATTCTTCAATAATTCCCTCGCTGTCGCTCGTAAGGATGGTGTTTTGTGCCTCCGATGTTTACGGACAGTTTTTAAATATAATAGAAAAGGCCGAATTAATTGAAGAAAAGGAGTACTATCCATGTAAAAGTACGTAACGACAGCGGAGCGGAATGGGTTTTACCTGTTCTCTGAAGCTGCTTTCTCTCTTTTATTTCTCTTGCAGTTCTTTTTTATTGGATGACCATGTGAATCTTATTTTTCAAATTTTCAGTTTGCGTAAACAACGGCTGCCAAGCATGACAGTGGTAGATGGTGCTATGGAACAGTATGGGCGAGGTGCTTTCAAAAAGCAAATTGATGGTGATGTTGCTGACATTCCCGTTTACATCAGAGAAAAAGTATGTTTATACTCAAATTTCTAAGTTTCATTTGGTAACAGGAATTTGCTTGAAGAAATTTGTTGCAATGAATCAGAAAACTCTCCAACATTTCATTGGAAGGCATTATTCCAGTACCTGTTTTTCCATAGAGCGATATTGGCGTCCGGGTCATGTTAAAGTCACCATTTGTTAAGTTGCGACGTAAGTGTGCATGACCTATGGCGAATCTGTTCGTGGAATTTGTAGCCTACAGTTCTCATAAGTTCTACGTTGCATGAAGATTCTCATTGTTCTCCACTACCTCTCCAACGCTAAGTTGGCTGTCTAGTTCCATTTATCAAAGCTGTTGAGCATCATCCTTCTCAGGACAAGGTTTGAGGGCAGCTAAATCATTATTTTTCTTTTTTTTTCTCTTATGTCTCTTTAGTGATCAGTTGTGATTAGGTAGTAATTGGCGATCTCGCTAAATTCTTTTCTTTTACATTTCTGCGGCCCATTGGCAGTTTGAGAGGACGTGTCATCAAGTCAAAATGGAAGATCGCTGGGTCTCAAACGATAAATGCCCAATGAAATGACGCAGAACGTTGACAACTGGCTGGATCATGTGCGCACTACTTGTCGTAAGTGATCAATTGGTGACAGGTCCAAGTGCTGTGTTACCCAAAATTCTACTAACTCCTTCCTCTTGTTGGGTTAGGTTTTGTCTCAGGCTCCGCCTGTTCATCAGGAGACAGCCATTGGCTCGTCATTTTATGAACACGGAACTGAGTTCTCGAAAACAATTTTCACTCTGATGGTTTGGGTTGGGATTACGCCCTTCTCATTGGTCAGCTCTCCTCCTTTGCCACATTTTCCATATAAAGAAGAACGATTGATTAACGAGAAAATCACAATCTCCGGCTCAAATGTACGCTATCAGACGAGGGGAACAAAACCTGAGATAACTTTTCCCGGTCTTGTCCGACCATTAATCTGCGTCCGGAAGCCAGGACCATCAGGCCGCTGCTGAATGTCATATGGGATGTCTTGGTGTTCCACAATTTTCGTGTAGCAGCTTTCCGAATCGATTTCAGAGCTTCAAGCGAGTATATTTATCTCGAGTGACTGTGAAACCCTTTTGCATAGATGTAAAACTCAATCCTGTCTCCAAATTTATAAAGGCTGAACCAACGGGGCATAGAGTGTGAGCAACAGGTTCTTTTCAATGCTAAGCATGCACTGGCGGCCATCTTCCTCCCTAGTGAAGTTATAATGATATCGTTTACCCACGCATTCTATACATCCATTGAAATCATAGTGACATTTCGAATGCGATTTGGCTTCTAGAATAATCTGTGGAGGCCATCCGACCGATGTTCAACCGAATTTTCGAAACCTTGGCGTTGAACGCTGCTTAGCGATGGTTTGAAAATTTTGAAATTCGTGCCAAAATACTGCTTTACTCACGCGTTTCTTCGCGCAGTGGCGCTACGAATGTTTCGTTTCCTTGCTACTTCGCAGGACTTGAACACCAACCAATAGCCAAGAGTTTTCGTGTGAACTCTGCACCGAAAGTCATGCGATCCTTCTTTTGTCATAGTGGCCACGCCCTTCAAGTGTAGCACTATGATGTCTCAGAAGCAATCACTCTTTTACTCAGAAATCATTCTTGTTGGTGTCATTCTGAAGAAGCAGTTAATAAACACAGAATGGATGAGTCCTTTTTCAGAATTGTACTGTTTATGGTCGAATTGTGCAAACTGGTTTTAAGGCAGAAGAAATTGTGCCGTGTAATAATCTGACACCTGAACAGGTCAAAATACTCGAAGCAGAAGGTAAGCTCGCACATTTCTTTACTATACTCTCGTTTCACATTTTGTTTGTCGTTTTTCCGATATCTGTCAACAGAATTATGCTGAGGTACAGATTATTAGGATATAACAAGCTATAGTTGCCTGAGGTTTCACCCATTTGTCTCAATCATCCGGTAATCATGGTTGTTGTGCTGCGATATAAAAGGTGACGGAGAAAGCATTCGCATTTTGCGAGAATGCAGCTTCGCATTCTACTATCCCCTTAAAAGCTAGTGCATACGGAATGCGCATTTGGCCTGAAGAATGATTTGCGAGGACCGAAGGATATACAAGTTTGTATTCTTATCCTACAAGTAATTGACAATGGTACAGCAAATCGACTCGGAGGACGAAGGACTTGCTTGGTCTGACGGGAATTGATGCGTGCGATCCTGGAACTACATCCCGCGCCACTTGCCACTATAACGATTACATTCTTGGCAACTTTGCCGTACGTTAAATATGTTAATAGGTAACCACGTAGAATCATCCTTTTTCTCAATCAGCCTTTCTTCAAAGGCTTGTATTGCACAAAGAGACGGTTGAGGAATAAAATCAAGTGTGTGCTGGTGGTAAGATCATGGTCAGCAAAGTCATGCATTCGGTTTTGGCTCGAATTTAGGGAAATTTTAATCGACGTAGTATAAACGAACTTTTTCATGATGGTCGGAACGTCGCGACCGGAGCTATATTCTCCGAAACTCCGAGTGCTCTGGCAGAATCTTCCGTAAACAAAATTTTTCAGTCTGTTACAGAGCAAAACCTTGTTTGTTAAAATCGACGGTGCGGAGTTGAAGAGGAGCTGGATGAAGACCAAGTTGGTGAAGCGCGGCATTCAAGCCCCTGCACTATTCCCCATTCCCGTGGACAAAAGGACCAGGGCGGTGTGCTAGTGTACAGTCAGTGATATCAGTTCTCATTACACAACGCGCTTGCTTGGAATGCGAAGCCGGCTCTTTTCTAGACCTCTACCTTCACTATTCTCCTGGACTGCTTGGATATTAAAAGACTTTTGTAGAGATGAAAATTGGCTTGTTTTCGCATTCAACGATTGTTGTTGAGAAGAAGCAGATAATGATAAATGTGATGCACGTGAGCTCGTAGTGTAAGTGGTGCGTAGTGTAGTGTAGTGTGTAAGTGTAAGTGGCATGTCTTATAGCCAGTAGGAAGACCTGCTATGTAGTGGGGCTTATGGATTCCTCATTGTCGGATTCACCGTTCACGACCGTCTTCATCTGGGAGTGTTTGGTCAGAAGAGTTTTCTGGAGTAAGTCTGCCTTTGCTGGCTCATAAGCGGGGTCAACCGCCCGTTGCGCAAAGATCAACGAGAGGGTCGTATTCGGCCAATGGAAGGGGGGATGGGTCGTAAAGCTCAAGTACAGCCACAAAATTTGAAGGTGCCAAGGCATGGCAAAGTGGCAAAGGAGATCAGACTTCAATTACCAGTACGACTTTTCACAGCAGATGATCATTTCTAGGGTTCTGAAGGGAAAACACTGGCGGAAGAAAGCTTTCCATCTCAAACCTTACCGGAAGAATTTAGCACAAGCTGGCATTTCTTGTAGATCTCAGTGGCTTTTATAACTTTTCATTGTACCAATTTTGAAAAAAAACTTAGGCGGATGAAGTTTGGAATCTTGTGCTTCAGGAGAGTGGCCTGAGAAAACCCTTGAGAAAAAAGGAGCAACGGGACTATTTTTGAGATAGTGGTCTTCAAATTTTTTTTAGCAATTTTAAGAGCATTAATCTTGTAGCTGCGCCTTCTAATTAGCCTTATAGTCTGCAAGGAGTGACCATTAAGAAAATTATGAAAGTTTGAGTGTTGAAAAGTCACGCGTTCTCAAAAATGGAGCCACAAACCCACAAAAAACGGAACAGCAGGACCATCGTTGTTACGTCCATTCGAATATGTGAAAAGATATGAATAGCTGACACAGGGGGCCTCGCACTGATAGGAGGGGGTTACAAAAATTTTGGAATCTGCGCAACACACCCCCCTCATAAGGTTCACAGAAGGTTCAGTTTTCCTTTCGCAGGACTAGTGTTAGTCAGTTTATTGCTTGATGAGAGGTTCAAACAACTATTTGACTGAACCATTTCGAGATAAGGTGTAGCAGTACTCAGTCATTTCGTCACCAATACATGGTTTGCAGACCAAACCTAGGATGCTACTAAGATTCCATATTCTCATTGGGAGTCGGAAGTGAACCAGGTTACAGCTGTTTTTTTTTGGGGAGTGTATTCAGTAGCAAGAAGGTGCTGCTTCACGCGCCAGGGACCCAAGGATCGCCTGCCGGTATCGTATGTCATCCTTTACCAAACAGCTTACTCGCCAGGGTCGGTCATTTGGTACCGGACACGTTAATAAAAATGATGTGTACGCTCATTGTTGCAATACATTGTACTGGACAAAATGCACGGTTGGTTGCGCGATGCACCGCGAAAAAGAGATTTGTCAGCGCCAAGTATTTTTTTTGGCAACCATGAAAATTCCCGATAAGCCCACCCCAACCCAACAGTTTGCTGCTCGAGATGCGATGGCACAATGTGCCTCTAAAAGGAGGAAGCGCAAATATTGACATTGGTGCATGTACAGTTTAGTTGTCATTCATTCATAAGATATCTGTCAGACTTAGCGATTGTGCCGCGCTGGGCCATCGGGCATTGGCTCCGCCCAGGATCGATACGGTCGGCCGGCAGGGGCCCGTCACGTACTCTGCCATCAACATCGGTATCGATCGTGGGCGGAGCCAACGCCCATCGCTTGCAGTTTGCAAATCGCTCTGCCTTCGCGATGACAGAGCGACTGCTGAGCGATTGCTGAGCGATCGCGATCACCTATCGTTCGGCACAATCGCCGAGTCTGACGGATATCTAATTGTTGCTTGAAGATTACGCTTCATTTTTCTCATGTGGTGAAGCGTTAATTTGTGTACAAAATAATGTTGTAGGTTTAATAATTAGTTGTTATGTATTCTAAATGCTAGATCTCTGTTATTTTACACGTTCTTTGCTTGTCCTTCAGCACTATGAGAAGAAATCTATCTTTGTTAGTCCAGTTTATGTAGTAGAGATAAATGTGAAGAAGCTTCCAAGTGTATCTGAAGATGCGAAGGAAGGCTGAGTTCCTTTGAAGAGAAATATTTACGCTTGAATAATCTGGAAGGGACATTAGTAACAATGACACGGCGGTCGCGTTGCGTGTATTGAAAGTCTTCTGGGATCCATCTTTTCACTATTTACTTTTTTTCTCATCAACTTTTTGCCAGTATGAGAACCGATACGCCGTTCTGTATCAATGTTATAGTTTACAGATCAACATGATACTTTTTATCCTTATCACTTTTTAAAACCATAGATGTACAGTAATGGTTTCACTGGCGCTTCCGGCGTTTTCATACCATATAACACGAGTTCTTGCAGCCATGATTAGACCTGCGGAAGGGAACGGGAATTCTAGAGAATAATTAGTTTTTGTGTGGCTCGAAATTCATCGAGTAAGCTTTCTCAAAATGATTATATAATATATTTTGTTTTTGTGTGGCTCGAAATTCATCGAGTAAGCTTTCTCAAAATGATTACATAATATATTTTGGGAAACGCATTTTTCAGTTTGTTCTTGAATTTGGAACAAATGCATTTTTTTTTGTTTTTTGTTCTTGTTCGTAGTTGATGAGGGAATCAAGGCGGTGATTTATGAATGAGATAGAATCGTGATATTTTTCGTGGACCATTCCTTTAAGTTTCAATCATGTCTGATTATGAATTGTATCGAAATTCCAGAGAAGCTTATAGACTTCGACGAAAGACAAACCTTTTTATTTTAGCCTATATCATCTTCTAAAGTTTCATTTTCACCACGAAAGACACTTTCCACGATTGTATAGTTGCAGTGCGGTTTTTGCACTCATAGTGACGGTAAAGGTGCCAAGTGCTTTGGGAAAAGAGAAATAAAGACCCCAATTTTCGGATAGTGGATGAATCTGCCCAGAAGATACACCGACCGCTGGGAAGAAGAGCAAAAGAATGAAGAAGACGTAGACTTCAGCGGCAGACGTAACGGTAGACGGCTGGAGTTCTAAGCTGTGAGCCTCTGGCGCTCCCGCCGGCTTTTATGCCGCGAAAGTAATACGACCTCTGCGGTTGCGGACCACTACATCTGTTTCACGGATGGAATTGTTCTCTCGGCTAATACGGAACTGACTTGTGGCTACCGCCTACAGGGATTGACTTCGATAAATCAATCGCTCTTAGATGCTCAATGCATTTCACCCACAATCATTGAGGACATCTCGATGGAGTATATTTAGCTGCTTGAAGCAACGCCCTAGATCAATTTGGTAACAGTGGTCGATAATGAAGCTGTGGACGCCGAACTGACTCAAAATGAAAAGCCTTTAACAAGTATTCCCTCTCTTCCTCCTTGAAATAAGGAAGGGCGTATTGGACGAGTTGTACTACCTTGCGTGCTCCACGGCTCCACTTACGCCGCGCGCATTTGAATTAGCCGCTGTACCTTAATGCGAGACACGTTGCGAGACATGGGGTGTTCGCAAAGAATCTCGTCGTATGTTTACATTAGTCGCTACCTAATCACTCTGTAAGGCTCTAGCGCCATTGTCGCGCACTTTCGATCCGCGACAACCGCACGTTCATGGTACTCGTGGGCTACTTCATCCCACCCTTAGAATAGATTCATCGACACGACTTCATCTGGGGTTGTTGCTTAACCATAGACTGTTGGCTGCACTATAGATCAACTTACTGCAGAGAAGATAAGAGACGCAGAGACGTGTGGACGAGCAAATGTACAACAACTCTGTATGCACGAAATGACAGCTTCATTGTAAACATGAAACGAGTGGAAAATGGAAAAGAAATAATGAGAAAAAGTGAGATTTGAACAGAACCAATCTCTGTCATGAACGAGAATGGCAGTTATTTAGTAAAAGACAAACCGAACGAGTGGGAAAATGGGAAAAGAAACTAATGAAAAAATTGGACAGAAGACCAAACGCAGCGCAAGGTTTTGACTTCACCGCGGTGAAATCAACCTTGTGGTGAAGGACATACTGTGACCGTAATTTTGATTTGACGTATGAACTGGCAGCAGCAGGTGACGACAGATAGCCAGCCCAACTCGTCGCGTAATTCTGCCCTTGGGGGCGCGAAGGCTTCACTAACTAGTTCCGGCTCATGTATGAACATGGGTGCTCCCAAGTGCATTCCTAGGCTAATGGAATGTCTATTGGTTTGACGGAGTCCAGGTTCACGATCATGCAATGACGTGGCGAAGTGGGAACCTCACTTACTATATTTATGCAGATTGAGTGCATCAACGCCTGACAACAGTGGTCCAAAAAATATGAAATAGTAAACAGATAATTGAGGAAAACAATCAATGACAGACGGATAAAGATAACTCAAAGTAGTGGAGTCCCCGGTCTCCTCTGATTAAATGCAGCCATCAACTAACACAAGAAACCAAAAAAAAGTGAAGTCAACGACCTGTGCCTAACCGCTTTTTACCCTCCAACTGTCTTCGGACAAGGTTGATGGGTGCCTCTGAGTGTTGGCATTGTCTTCCTTGATCGCTTCATCGGAGAGAATCTGATCCAGAAACGTTTCGGCTTGATCCATTGCAATCTGAATTTTGAAGGAGCTATACTGAGGAGTTGTACCGACCACCCTGAACTGGCCGCTTTGATTAAGATTACCTTCTTGATCACTGGTTTGATGAAGCCACCGATGAAGTCACCTTCAACGGAATCATCTCTCTGTTTGCCAAATGGTGAACTAAAATACGGCTCAACACGAGGGAAAGGTGGATCAATCACTGATGGAGCGATTTCGACATCCTGAAATTAGAGCACCTGATGTCGGGATATCTTAACCTTTTTGCGCCGTCGATTCATAAAAGACTTACCATTCTATGTAGTCAGTGCAGGCATTCTTGAAGGCAAACCCCGGGGTTAGCCCGACTTGTGGGAAGGATACCGCGAGGGAAATTGTAAGGTCCCTACCTACCTAGATCACTCCAGCTTCGCCGCAAAAATTGCGCGGTTAGGGCGCTAATCCTTACGGGCCTGCAACCATCGACCCCCGTTGCAACGCTTCCCACCCACCTCGATATCGGCGTGCTCTCTCGAACGGCGTGATCTCTCGCGTGTTTTGTCTTCTTTGACCGCCCTGCCTCGCCATCGTTCCACATCCGACCTTTTTGAAGGTTAAGGCCTTAATTTCAGCGATCCCAAAGATTTCTCTAGCTTTTTTTTACTTTCAGGCCGTCCCGCAGCTCAGTCATCACTACGAAGCGCTCTTGTCACCAGTTTTATCCCGGGGTTGCTTTCAAGAAAAACTCATAGATTCAGCTACCTTGAACTGATGCTTTTCCCTTTCGAAACTGAACAAGCTCTCACCTCAGTTCCATAATGTGCGGGATGAATTGTGTTCCGATTGAATGGATTAAGATCCTGTGGGAATGACTCGATCGTTTGGTA